ATTGCACAGTGTGCGCACATTGGAAAGAAATATTCCCGGTAGCGGCGTGCGGTGTACTGGACCCCCACCCTCCCCACCCCCTCACTGGTGTTGTTCCCCTGATGTTAATGAGCTCCTCTCTGGTTAAAGGATTCCGGGTATCACAGCAGAAAGCTAAGTTAGCAAACATAAACAAAACAAACGGAGTGCACCAAAATACCACGGCTGCCCTGAGAGGCGCAATCTTGCCAAGTGATATTTAAGTGATGTAAAGATACCATCTAAGCACCATGTTTGAGTTTTACGGAATATCCATGTCTATTTAAGACCAGCCTCCTCTAATTTAGCTAGTTACCGAGGAACATGGTTATTACCCACTTACACTTCTCAGACCATTCTCATCTCAATACCGACGCTTTCAGAAAAAGTGGCAAAGCGTAGTTATTTGACGGGGAGATGCTCCCAGATGCGTCTGTATGCAACACTCTGGGGCGTCTCACACAGACCGGAAGTGCTAACTAGCTAGCTATGTTCGTGTTAAATGTGTTGACAACCCCCTGAAGCCCCCTACCCTACTTTACGCATGTCGACCGGCTACCCTACAGTTGTAAAGGTAGGGTTAGCCTCCTTTGTATTGCTGTGACGTAGCAAACGTTGGCATTTCATACAGACGCTGAAGGGTACCTTCAGCGTAAAATAATTACGCTTTGTCACGCTGTCTGAAAGCGTTGGTAATGACGCACTGAGATGAAAACGCCCAAATAGTGCTTAAGACAGCTTTGGAGTTGTTGGAAGGATTGGATTTTTTTGATGGGAGAAACAGCCACCAGAGCTACCTCTGTAGTGGGTGCACAGAAACGAAACTGATCTATTTTTATCTGCCTATGGATCTGAATGCAAACTAGCATGTTTCCCAAACATTTTAAAATGTAGCAGTGACGATGGAATGCACTTAAGACAAAGACAATGAAAAGAAGTCACATTCTTGGTAGATGAATAAAAATGACAAGCCTACAGATGTCTATAGTTTGTAAAGTTAACAAATATTTATTAGTACTTTTCCTCAAAATTTTAACAAGTGTATATTTTCTTGTGTTATAACAATCTGTTTAATGCAGTAATCTCAAAAACACATATGGCATTAACATGTCTATTTAACCTTTGAAAATACCATTAACAGTTCCTCTATTCTATATGAGTGTGAATGGCTCATCCCATTATATAAAATGACTAGCTGCTATTTTTGCTCCTTTCTAATGTTACAGAACAGAAGTAATTATAAAATGCAAATTGCAGGGTATGCACTGCCAAGCATGTGAAACACAACAAAGAGATGCTTAGCACCACATTTTTCAACTTGACACTTTCAGCATCCTGGTGAGAAAACAACCCCATATTGTAAAAGTAGTTGGTATTCAATTATATGAGAAGCCTGGAGCAATGAAACAAAATATGTGGCTCATTTTCACAGATTAGCCTGACACTAATTAGCACTGGACTGTACCTTGCACAAGCTACACAGTGGATCATCATTTGTTTAAATCAAAATTTGGACCAAATAAATCAAGCTATTGTTCGGGATAGTATTGGCCTCTTTTTTTTAATATCAGCCAGTCTGAGCCATTATTTTTGAGGTTCTTTCCTGATCATCACTGTAGAAAAAAAGTCTACAAAAGTCGGAAGGCAGGTTTTCCTTTTTTTTTGCATATTATGTTTTTATGATTTAATTGTTTTATGTTACATTTCTAAATGTATTCCTTATTTGAAGTCAAAAACATATCCCAGAGTTTCTCCTTCTGTCAAATAAGTGTGTGGTGTACTGTATCTTTAAGGAACAATTTTCAGCCTCGTTTCTATGACATATAGAGTCTTTCATGTCCACAATACTTGCTAATGTATTTATTTTATCATTGTACCTTGCTGTTGAACCTGGGTTGCTCACGCAATGAAAAACAAATGTATAACTGATAATGTTGACTCACTTCGCAAATTATCACCACACAGCTGATGTGATACCGGCATATGCTGTAAAAGTAATCAAGTGAACCCCCTCACACTGTGAGTTTCAGCCAGTTTGTGAACGGTAACGTAATTGTTAGAGTTTTGCAATATAAACATCTAAAAACTGAAGTGCAAACTTGCTCTGTTTGGGACTGTGAGCTGCACTTTATTAGAGGTGCTGAAGTTAACGTGTGGATTTGTGGTGAAATTTCTGCCTGCTTACAAGTGTTTCAGTTATTTTCGGTTTCTACCTCTGTGTCTCATCCAGCGGGGATGATAATACTTGAGAAAAGTTGATCTACAGGAGAAACATATCTGAAAGCAACACAGAATGCCTGAGAGCTGCACGGCATTGTCACCTGCCACCTAAATTTTGTATTTCCACCACAAATTGATGCAGAAAAGGCAGAAATTGGTGTAAAAAAGTTCCGGAGAATGCAGGAAATTATGTGCTTAATGCTCAAAATATAATTTGGCATTGAAGATTTCTTATAAATAGTGTTAAAACATTTTTCTTGTCTAGATCTTGTGATCCCAATATCGTGTAAAGGTGCTTTCAGACCAAAAGCGAAGTGAGTGTTGGGGGCGGTGCGTTTATATACAGTACAAAGTCAATGCAAAGACGCAGGCAGCCACAATTTCCTGTCGGCCGGGCAGAGGGGGCACTACCTGCGACACGAAGGCCTTCGTGAGATGAAAATTTTCAACTTGAGCGAGAAAGTTGCATGACGCTGAGTCGCGATAGATCAGCGTTGAGATTATCAGGACGTCACCGATGGCTTCAGACAGTTGTGTGGAGAGTACGGCCGACGGAAAGCTAATAAGCTGCGGGGAAAAGCCAAGGACAGAGCCGGGAGCAGCACTGCAGCTTTTGGACAAATAAACACCCGTAGTCGGTCTGGATTCTGCTCTGACAACTGCACCGCTGGAGGAGCTCAGAGTGAACTGCTTATATTAAATTAACTTTTTACTTTAGTTTTTGGTATTACAATGTTGATTTATCTTCAATTGAGCTTCTCAGCAGCTAGATTCCGTGCACATCCAGTTCCACTGTTTCCACATTTATATAAAAACCGGACAAAACTGGACATTGCTTGAAGAAAAGAAAGCAAGGAAGTTGAACTACCTGGCGAGTTCAGAAAATCTGTGTCTGTAACTTTATTCCAGCTGTCGTTGTACTTTACTGTGACCAAGTTAGCATAGCATAGCCCTGATCGATCCAAACTCCATTCAGAAAACAAACATTTAAGAAGTTGTCCTGCTGACAGACCTGACAAAGCATGAATTCATATGTTAAACAAATCTGCATCATGTTGTCGTTATTTCGGCATCAGTTTGATCCGTTTATTGCAATTAAATCACAGCAAAATGTTTACTTTGGGTTCACAGCTGTAGTAATCGCGAGTTGTTTATTCGCATTATCTTGTTGTGTGTGAACACTTGGCAGTAATCCAGCAATAAAACCCCCGCGAGGAAAGCGTTGCAAGGATTAAATTTGAGTTTGGTCTGAATGCTCAGTAAGTGTCTCTCGTCATACCCATAATGCTCCTATTCACTGGGCACCAATTGGAATAGCCAAACTATAGCCCGCAGTGCCTAGGGTCAGAGTGCAGAAATCTGCAGGTTTGGTTATGGACACCATCAAAGTGAAAGTGTGGACTACATAGACCAAATATCACCACAGCTCACCAGTGAGATATTGGTCCTTCCAAATGGATTTGTTGATGATAAGACACAAGATATCATTAATATCAGCACTATCCTTTAACTGTAGACTCACACTAAAATGTAGCTGTTTTATTCCCATAACCTTAAACTTTTTTAATTTAATCAAACAAACTCAAATGTCTGTTTTAATAGGATGTCAAATCTGTGCTGTTGTACATATTCTAAATTGTGGTGAAAATATTTAATCATGAATCATAAATGTTGCCAATAGCAGAATTTATTACACAGAAATCTGTGTTTCACTAACTTGAAACTCAATAGTAAACCTTTCCGTTTATCAGCTTTTTTTTTATAGCATCTGGTCAGCTACGCATTATTTTGTTATTTTTGAATGTTATTTTTCGATAGCTTTCCTGCATAGAGGCAAATGACTGCACTAGCAGATACAGCTAAATATTTTTTTCCTCCCCGGATATGTTTGCTTGTTCATGGTCACTTGTTGTATAGTCTGTGGTTGTAATACAATGCTGTCCAGGAAGCAGTATGACTGCAAGTCATGGATGCATTTTAGCACATAAACATTAAGAACCCCAGTTCTTAATTCTGACAATTTAGTGTCAGAATGTTTGCTGGGAAGCTCTAGTCAAACAACACAGTCTTGTGTTGTGTTACTTCACTGATCTAGACTAGTGAAGATTGGTTACAGTACAAGCAGGATGGCAGTTTGCAGAGTGGAAATGGACAGCAGAAGTGGGGAGGCCTGTGTTAGTGGATGTGGCTGTTGAAGACGTGGGCCATGCAGCTGAGCAAACTTTTGTGTATGCAACTGTGTATGTGTGCCAGCACTCCCAGTTTTTTAAACTGTCTCAATGTCCCCATTCCCTTGGGAGTGTCAGGATAACAGTTCAGTAGTTTTTGGAAGTTTTTGGGCATATTAGATTACAATAGAAAATTGGTTCTTGAGTTTTTCTTGAGGTCATTTGAGATGGTGGTTAAAGTCTAGCTTGGGTCCATGGTGACAGCAGAATTCCTCACGTTTCTTATCTCGTTGTCGCCATTGGGCCTAAGTGAATAAATGCAAAGAAACCAACCCTTATCTTACTGCATATTATATAGTACTGTCATTATAGTGTGAGATTCCGCAAATTGGCAAAAATATTCCTTTAAATGAGGTGTTAGAAATTATAAAAATAAATATTTAGCAAATATTTAGTTTCATTTTGTTAGCACTTAAAGATGTATTTGTCTATGCCATGATCCTGCCTCTCGTGGCATATGTGATTTTGGTCAGAAATTCTGCTATCATTGATTTAAACAGCAAAGCAGAGATGAATGTCAGAGGCATCTCTTACCTTTTCAAGTTGTGCATTCTGTTTGGATTTATAGAGGAACTCTCCCACAGCCACGAACACAGACAGGACGAGTCCAGCAGCCAGGACAATGAAGATCCCTCCGATGTTCTGCACCCCGAGGGCGCTGGCCTCCTTACTCTCCTCCTCTGGGCAGCCGTTTCCTCTCCACCATTTCTCCTTCATCATGTGCAGCTTTCCTTCCTCCTGAAGCTGCAGGATGGCAATCGTGATCTTATCTCTGTACGGAGAGCCTGAAGGACCAAAAGACAGTGTGAGGTCAGTGTGAGCAACCAGCATGGCTGAATCAGTGTCTTTATCTTATCAAAGAGTGAAGGAAACAGATCGACACTTTTATTGAATATTGACTTTGTCTTATTTACTTAAACCTCAGATTTCCAAACTTCCCACTCGACCGAGCAGGTATAATTATGAAAAAAAGTCAGTGTGGTGTGGAGAAATGGCAGAACTGGCAAAGACAGTTTGACATGTTAACTTTGAAGTACCCGTGTTTAAAACAAACAGGTACTAAATATATTTTGAGTAAAATACTACAATCAAAATTTTAAGAATCTGTTTTCCTTTCTTTTATAAACTACTAATGAACTATTTTCTCCCAGCATGCCCTTTCTCCCTCCTGTGTGCACCATGCAGCGAGCGTGCAGCAGGAGGGTGATGACTAGATGGATGATGGATCGCTGCACAGTAAATAGCTCTGGGTGATGAAAATATCCACAACTTGTTGAGTATTCTGTAATTCAGGGAATGGGAAGACTTGGTTTGTAGATAGTAACTGAACATGTGTGGAATGACTCCGCTGAGGGTTTTTGTTGTGATCTAGAGACACTCATTGTTGCCTTTTAGGTGTAGATGAGGTTAATCCAGGCTAACATGTTGTTATCAGGTTATAATGGTTTTATTAATTCTCACCCTACTAATTTGGTCCTTCAAACAAACAAACAGATCTCTGAAATTTCAGGTTTAAGGTTTACATTCATTTAAATTATTTATTAAAATAAATGATGAGACTGCCTCAAATTTAACTAAAGTGGTTTATTTTAATCCAACTGTTTGTTCAACAATTTAAAACCATGATTCCAGTTAATTTTACGTTTAAATAAATTCTTCTCCAAAATATCTTCTCTAAACAATGATTAATTAGGTGCCAAGACCAAATTATGAGTTATGTTTGAGGAATCACTGACTAAACCATGATGACCTTATTCTAGCGTGGTTTGATTGAACCGATTTAGTCTTTTTCTTTGGTAGCATGGTTTAGAAAACATTTCCTTAAAGAACAGAAACTCTCTGAGCCAAACTATTAAATGATCTGGTGGGCTGAATGGTGATTAACAGCTTAACCCTGCGTCCCTGTACACCAGACAGTTACAGCGTATAACCAGCTCCATTTTAAATGATGACTCCCAACCTTTGCACAGTGAATATCGGCTTCTTCCTTCTGGATGGAGGTTTATAGTCCCTAAGTGCAGAACAAAGCACTATAAAAACAGCTTTGCAAGTTACACAGATGATACAGAAGCAATGTTTATTTACTTATTTTAGCGATGATTGGAACCTTGAGTACTTCTCTTATGTTTATCTACTGTTTTTTGTCTACTGTCTGTGTAGTTTAAAATATTGAGAGGATGACTCGTCCACTGTCAAACCTACATCCTTACCTACGGGTATAAATAAAGTAACCTGAACCTATACATTTTTTTTATTATAATGATTAGATCATGATTATGTCTTGTAACATATTTTTTGTTAAAAGGGGGAAACTGCTTTAAGAAACGCTCTACAATTTAATTTCTACAACAAATCTATTTTGTTGTGTTGTGCATGTGTGTATTTCAAAACCCCATTATATTTCAATGAGCATTCAGCACATTCCAGTCTACATTTCAGTATATTTCATTGTACATGTTGAACACTGTAAATGCTAATGTCTAGCATTACCCTTTAATTGTCCACACAGAACCAAAAACACTAAACTAATGAACCTAAAATACATCTACGGGACTCATATTTCCACTCATTCTGCTTGTATAGTGGTTTAATTAAGAGTGGTTGTCATTGTTAATCTGTGGTAATGTTTTTACTGTAAGCTGTTACGTTTTAATAAGTTAACGTCTGCTAATGTGAGACGTCTGCAGACAGCTCAATGAATCCCCCCCCGTCAGTTTTTTCTTCTCCTCCCTTATTCCACTCAGGTAAAGCACTCAGCACTGTCCCCTGTAGTCACATGATCAATAAGGATGTTAAAGCAGCACTGCGGCCTCACAGCAAGAAGGTCGCGGGTTCAAACCCCGGTCATCCCGGCCTTTCTGTGTGGAGTTTGCATGTTCTCCCCGTGTCTGTGTGGGTTTCCTCCGGGTGCTCCGGTTTCCCCCACCATCAAAAACATGTTAGGTTCTCAAGTTAGTGCCATTGACCAGACACTAATAAAAGGTCTGGAGTTGCTCCCTTGTCAGATGGGTTAAATGCAGAGAATGAATTTTGCAACATGTGTATGTGACAATAAAGTATCATCTTAAACCCTTAGAATGAAATCTCCCACAGGGGGAAGTCGTGTTCAGATTAGCTAGCTGCTGGAATAATGATATATGTTATTAGTAGTTAGGCTGCAGAGCTGATTTAGCAGCACTGTTATGTAGTGGACCCAAAAGATCCCAAACAGTGACACTGATCAGCCTTTGTGGCAGTGTGGCTCTTTAACATCTCTTCTGTCCTTCATCCTTACCCAGGGCCTTCTGGTATCTGACTCCTTTTTTCAGAGTAAGCCAGCCACCATGTTTCAAAAGCATCCATCACCATGGTGATGGCGAATGTGAATCGTGTTCTTGTTATTCTTTGCCATCTACACTAGATACCTTCCCTTCAGCTCCGGTGTTGAACAACAAGCCAACGTGTGTCAGATAAATCACCCTCTACAACAAAGAAACAGGCAGCCTTGAAACTGGGCCAGCTCTGCCTGATCAAAACAAATGGAAAGACCTCAGCTGTGATATCATGGGCTAGCTAAACATGAACACTGTGTCATACAGTCAGACCCTGTGCTACACTGTGCCAGCCACGATTTTGGCAAGTGTTGCAACCCACATTCACATGAGCATGAAACGGGTGAACAATCTGATGCCTTCTGATCTGTTGAGTTGAAAATGTGCCAACAGGGTTTCATTGGTAAGTGTTTTTTATTAGTTATAAAGTTTAGTGCAAAGCATCAGATCTTCCAGAGATCCAGATGGCATTGGGAGGCCGGCCTCAGGTGTGATACTTCTAGGCTCTGTAACACCACCTAAGGTCACCTAGGTCACCACCTAGTCACCTAAGGCATAGGGCTGGACAATAAAACAATAACAATAATTATCGCGCTATGATTTTTTTCAAATATAACAAATGTTCAATAAATATTTAATAAATGTTTGATTTTATTCCCCATAATCATACACAAATTAGGACTTTTTTTTTATTGATTTTTTTTTTTGTTGAGGAAAAAGGACTGAAAAAAGCTTTTATTTAATTTTACTCGTGCATATTTGTTTACAAAGATTTTATCATCATTGCTTTGAATGTTCTACCTCCAATTTGTGAAGTGATCCACAATTAACCATAAGGTTTCTTCAACTTTCACTCAGGAGCAAAAATCAGCCTTTAAACTCGAAAGAAAGAACGATTTGATTCTTACGTGATAATTATCGCTATCAAAAGAAATTAAACTTTTTATCGAGAGAACATTTTTGGCCCTAAGGATGGCAGTGTCACATGATCAGCTTTGGTTTAGAACAAGAAACCACAACAGCTAGTTGTGCTTATCCAATAAATCAATGCCCTTCTCTCTCCTTTTCTTATGCTAAAACTCAGATATATGTCTTCGTCACAGCCAGACACCACTACTACAATAACATTCTTTATGCTACATCATCATCCAAAGTCCTTAGAAACTTTTAATTAAACTCAACAGATTCAATTCAAAGTTCTACTCTTCACTCCCATAATCAGACCCCTCGTACCGCACGGGCCTCCTCCACACTCCTGTCATGTACATAAAATATTACTTCTGACATTAGCTTTGGGAGTAATCTTAGTCTGTGTCTTTATCTTTTAAATACCATGTCCAATCAATCTCTAGAGAAAATGTAGAATAATCATTGTGATGACTTACAATGTAAAGAAATGTATTTTGTCATCTTGGAATGTAAAAGCTCCTCCAACAAGGTTTTAAGTTATTCCTCAATCACGTATCACAATTCCTGCTATGAGAAGAATTTAGTTAAAAAAACAAATAAAACAGGGGCTATATTTGTGAAGATTGGACACACTTTTTCTTTTATATATAACATTTTCAGATGATTTGTATCCAGTCATGAAGGAGAATTGTCATACAGGTTTTATTCCAGAGTAAACTGGTTGGTTTATGATTTTTCTTTTAATAGGTATCTAATAATTATATATATTAATATTTTATTGTGTGATAATTTCCTTATATTTTTGTCAGTGCTAATAGTTCCTTTTTCCCCTGTTTTTGAGCAAATTTTTCTCTGGCAGGATCATTCTCACTCCTGACTCGCTCGGTTAAGGCCCTTTAGCGTCGCTTTTAGACGTTTAGGGCTCTGCGGTCAAGCTAGTAATACTTGGCAACATTGCCAAACACCGCCCATTTTTGAAACGGCACGTTGTTAAAAGTTGTGAAACATTGCAATTTGGTTAGGTTGAGGCACAAAAAGTACTTGGTTAGGGTTAGGAAAAGATCGTGGTTTGGGTTAAAATAACTAGTATTTTTACGTATTTAAGGAATTTGCCTCCAGTGTCTGGTGGCTCTCAATACAAACACAGTTCCAAACACGCTGCTTAACAAAGATAAGCATGGAACTATTATGTACACAAGTGGGTGAAGAAAATACAAACAGGTAACATTAGAAAGTGCACATAGTCACATAAGTTTAAGATGTGATTGAAAGGGGCCCACAGATGATCACCAGCAAATGTCTCTGTGCTATGTCGTAGTGCTGTAGTCAAGACCAAGTCTAGACCAAGACCAGAGTTTATCGAGACCGAGACAAGACCAAGACTTTTAGGGGCTGAGAGCAGTCGAGACCAAGACCGAGGGAGGGCGAGACCGAGTCAAGACCAAGACCAGTTCCCTGCATAAAATGTGGAACGAGATCATAGGTACTTCACAAAGTGATCTGAAAATTCACTTTCCCATTAAAACACCCACATACAAATGTAAGCATCGCAGGGAGGGGGGGCG